TAACTAAACCCCTAATTCAAAATTGTTATGTTGATATTAATATTCCAATACAATAAGAAAGCCAAGTTTAGTTTACATCATATACAACGAATGTTCCCGCGAGAATCTAGTTTACATATTATTTCAGTTAATTCGTTAATTTGGCTCGGGCGTATCAAATTTAGATTTGGTTCGAATAATTTGTTGTTGTTTTTTTTTAAACTTTATTCGAATTATTTTACATTTCTTTTCGGATTTCGGTTTGGGATGGTTTTGGTTCACTAATTTTGGACACCCCTAATCGACATACCAAAAACAATGGAACCAAAAGGAGATGGGCTTTTCCAGTTTTCCTCATGTACACAAAGAAAGCATTTTCTGTTCCCCTTCCATTGTCTGATTACAAACATACAAAGGCTCTATTGGACCTAGAAAGAATTAGGGCATCGAGAGGTTTCTTAGAGTTCAAGCAAATATTCCATTTAAACCCACCAAGCCTTTTTCTCCATCAAGTCCTTTGAGAAAACATAACGGAACCTTGTGCTATATGGCAACCATTCAACAAACTGAGACGATTTCTTGTAGTTTGGTTTCCCTTCTACGCATTTTTGTATCGATTCCCCAAGCTTTTCGTCTACGTTATCTATTAACCATCTCATCAAATCATCTGAGCTCAGAGAAGCTTCCTTTGTATACCTCTCTATAATCTTTGGTAAGAACACTTTCTTCTGCATCTTTATAACCACATTTGCTTGAAGAAACTCTCTTTTCGAAGCTTCTAGTTCCTCTCTAACGTTTGTTGCGGTGTATGCTTTTAACTGCAATTATGCGAATGCCAAATCATTTCCCATAAAGCCATGAGTTTTCACAAATAGACAAAATTCAGAATATGTATGTAAGATTAGAACTAAAGAGTAAAAGAAGTTACCACTGGATCTGAGATAGCACCAGTGCAAAGAGCAAAACAGAGAAGTGGCTCTGGTTTGTGAAGGCTGAACTTTGAACTTACTTTATCTTCGGCTGGTTTATTCCTCAAGGCGGTTGAAATAACAGTCTCAAGCCACTGTAATGTAGGTTACTATGTAAATGGATTCAAATTTTATAGTGTTTAATAAGGAATAAGGCTTCTTACACGTCCACTTCGTGGAGTTTGGAAGCAGAAGATAGCGTATTCAATGGTGTTCGCGTTTATGATGTGTCCACCGATATTATACGCAGACTGCACTACACGATGAAACCTATTAGTCTCTGCTCAAATATGAATCTGGTTTCATGTTAAGCATTGAGATAAACGTAGAATACCTTGTGAAACAAAGCTAACCTTCTGAGAGAATTTGCAGGTATACCATATGCTAAGTACGCCTAGAGAAGATGTATAGAAGATTACTCTAATCAAACCAATGAATTAGCAAAAGGCTTAAGGATTTTGTGTAAGATCAATATGTTCTTACATGCATGAGGAGAGCATTGTAAATATTGATCCAAAATGCTAGCTTTGCATTGCTTTCCATTTGATTTAAAGTAACTCTCTCAAGTTGTTCAACAAGGAGCCTGTAAGTAAAAGATCACGTATTCTTGTAATCGAAATCAGTTCAGAGATTTTTCGAAAAGAACGTAATTGTTGGACTAACCTATAGTTGTCAATAGCATAAGATGCTTGAGAAAATCTTCTCTTGTCTGATGAGATCCAAGATACTTCTACCATGGATCTGCAGGACCAAGCTCGGTCTTCACTCATAACGTTCTTAGGGATGATCACATTGCTCGTCGCCGATCTTGATAAAATTGGTGAG